GGTCTTCTCTGGAAACGGGGCATGTTTTCTGCTCAGTTTCTGATATGGGCAATACACCAGAGGTCTCTACTGACCTAGGGGTGAAACAGAAAATACAGAGGACAAGACACCTCAGCCAACTAGGGAGACTTTCAGACACTGCCACCTTCCCCCAACTTCTCATTGGCTTTTGCCAATCTTATCAGTTCCCCTAAGATCCTGTAGCAGAAATGAGAAGAGTGGACTTATTGGGGAGCACTGTAGAGAGGAAAAAAACGAACTTCAGAAACTCCTCAGGACCTAAAACACAGAACCGAGCACCCAGCCACTGGATGTCATGAAGGCAGGCAGGCTGGAGCCCCCCAGCCCTCACTCTGAGGGCCCAGCTTCAGTCTGATCCTGGACCATGTTCCCAGGACCCCAGGAAGAACCCTGCGGAGTTACCTGTACCCTCTCATGAACACACTTAGGGGAACTGCTCAGAGGGAAGCCTGCTGGCGTGGGTGGGGCAAACCCACTGACCCAGAACTATGCAAACTGTGCTGTGCCTAAGAATAGCCTAGAATGCTTGCTAAAAGCATGCCACTTGGAGCATCTGGATTTTTAGTGAGCACCCCAGGTTATTCTGGTGCACCCCAAGATTTGGGAGCCAGGACCCACACAGCGGCTGAGGGAGCCCTCATCAGCTATGATACAGCCCATCTGGACCAGTGCTGAACATTAGAATCACTTGGTCAGAAATACCAATGACCTATAGCCAGAAATTCTGATTTAAAGCCCCAGGGAAGAGTCTAAATGTTGGTATATTTATAAACCCTCCAGATGATTCTTGTTTGACCAGGGTTGAGAGCCAAGCTCTTCATTTATGAAAATCATGCAGCAAGTATATGGAAAGACTGAGTATTTCTGAGTATATGGAAAGACTGCTATGTATGAGCAGATATTAAGGAAACAATGACAAGAGACAATGATTCTCTGATCAGTGACCCCTAGTCAAACAGACTAAGTGACATAATAGAGAGGGGATATATAAAAATATATGTATCACATCCTTAGAGGGATTCAAGAGGATAAACATCAAATGAACAGAATAGGCTACTAAGAAAAAAATAGTCCAAGAAATATTATGAATTCTTTGAAATGAAAAGCATAATTGTCAACCACTCTCCCAGTACTCAGTAGGAAAAGAAAAAACTCATTAATGTATAAATATCACAGAACGAACATCATTGAAAACCAAACTCTGAGTGACTCTGAGAGTAATTCGAGGAATTCTCTCATTGAATAGAGAATAAAAAAGACTAAGAGAGAGAAGATAAGAGACATGGTTCCCTGTGACAGAGGCCCAGAATTCCTACAAAAGGGTTTCCTGAAATGGGAGGTTAGGGCAGAAAAAGAGCAGCAGTAGCTTATTTTTTAAAAGAGAGAGAGAGAACGACGCCGAGTTAAAGAAAGATTTCAGTTCCTAGATCAGATTAGAAGGTAATCCCAGGGCATGTCAGAAATATTAGAAAGAAGATACCATCTACATATCATTTTTCTTTTAAAGTCAACAGAGAAATATGTCACAAAATGTTGGTTTAAAATATATCAGGTTAACATATCCCTGGGGGAGAAAGGGGTTGGGAGGTTAAGGGAGAGTTTTCACTTTATATGCACCATTATTATTTGCATAAATTAATGACATCTTTAATTGAAACATTTTAAAGTACATGGACTAGAATAGAAAGCAGAGTAGCAAAGCTAGTACAAAAGTTGGTTAAGAAAGTAAAAGTCAGAGAAGAAGAAAAGGAATAAGAAAGAGGAATGATATTCATAAAACATACAATATCAGGAAAAAAGATAAAATATACGATACAGGTAAATGTGACTGTTTGTATCCCAACATCTGAAGCAAACACACTACTAGAAAAGTGGGCAAGGAACACAAAATATCCAAACCACGAAACAAGAATAAATATCTACTAATTGTGAGAAAAGACTCTTAATATATTAAAGAAATGAGAATTCAAATGAGATTTGCATTATCAGATCTGCAAAGATAAAAAAAGATTAATACTGGCTGAGTGGGTGAAGATGTAGGAATTGGGCACTTTTAAGGTGGAGGCATGAAAAAAGTTGTTAGAATTTTGCTCAAGAGGAATCTGTCTACATGAGCTAAAATTAAAATATGCATACCATGCTTAGCAATTCCACCCCTAGGAATTTGTCTTGAAGAAATAATTGGACTCGCATATAAGGCTGTTCATTTCATAATTGTTTTTGTTAGCAAAAGAAAAAAAGTACAATCTAAATATTTATCAGGCCCTCCCTTGTGGTGTAGGGATTAAGTCCCAGTGCTATCACTGCTGCGGCCTGAGTTCAATCTCAGGACGGGGAGCTGCCCACACAGCGCCGCAGGCCTCTCCTGTCTTGCCTGCTGCTCCCTTCAGCAGTATATTTCAGTCAGTCTGCCTGTTCTGCTTTCCCCACTCTGTCTCTGTTGAATTCTCTCACTCCCCGCACCTCTGACCTACACCCCAGTTCTTCTACACGTAAATAAATAAACAGGGCCTCCCCGGTGGCACAGCGGTTGAGTGCTGGGCTGCGAAGCTGTCTGCAGCCTCTGCAGCGCCAGATCAATCCCTGGCCGGCTGGCGAGGGTCCCGCATGGCGTGCAGACCTCTCCTGCTGCACTAGCTGCTCCCCTCAGTAGTGTATTTTGTCAGTCTGCCTATTCTGCTCCCCACTCTGGCTCTGGTGAATTCTCTCACTCTCCCGCACTTCTGACTGTACCCAGTGCTTATATAAATTAAAAATAAATAAATAAATAAATACATCTTTGAAAAAATTTTATCACCTGGGTCATATAACCAATTTATTAATTAAATAAATTACACCCATGCAAGGGGTCACGATGTAGTTGTTAAAAAGTATAAGGAGGATCTATGTGTGTTCACATGGAAAGACTGTTATATCACTAGTTAAAAACTATAGAGCATTATAGATATAATGAACTCATTTGTGCAAAAGAATATGATTAGACACTCAATTAAGGCTCCCAAATTTTTTGAGTTCATGGCATCCTTAGTGTTTCAGCTGCCCCCAGGCAAACAAAAAACAAGGCAAACAAAAAAGCAAACAAATCCTAAGTCAGCTCCAAAAAATTTAATAACAACTTGTGTCCTAACAACTTGGTAGCTATTTGAAGTATATATACACTGAAAGAAAAATTATCAATTTACTTCATTCTTTTTTTTAAAGATTTATTTATTTATTCATACAAGAACTGGGATACAGGTCAGAGGTGCGGTAGGTGATAGGATTCACCAGAGACAGACTGGGGAACAGAACAGGCAGACTGACTGAAATACACTGCTGAAGAGAGCAGCGGACAAGTCAGGAGAGGTCTGTTGTGCCGCGTGGGTAGCTCCCTGACCAGCTGGGGTTCGAACTTGTGCTGCAGAGGCTTCGGATAGCTTCACAGTGCTGTGCTTAACCCCTTGTGCCACCAGGGAGGCCTAATTCACTTTATTCTTAAATAAACACACTGCATGCCTGTTGGACTCCATGCATCATTCTCATGCTTTGGAATCAATTGGTGCCTGTTACCTTCATTCCTATTCCATGTTGACTTTTGCATAGTACTTGCTTTTTATCACAGCAACTGAAAACCCAGCTTTGCAAAGAGATGACATCATTGGAAGGAATGTAGTGTGATCATATGTCAAATACCACTGTGTTTCCTCAAAGATTTAGAATGTGACTCTAAGGTCCCTGGTGCAATTTGGGAACATGGCATTAGACTATGAACAAAGGTTCATTCTGGAAAGTGAGATGGAGTTGGAGAAAGAGAGAATTTTCTACGTTATGTACATCTCACTAGTTTGATTTTTTTTCTTTTTTTGAAAAGATTTATTTATTTATGCATACAAGAACTGGGGTACAGGCCAGAGGTGTGGGTGGTAAGAGGATTCACCGGAGACAGAGTGGGGAACAGAACAGGTAGATTGACTGAAATACTGTTGAGGGGAGCAGGGGGTGAGCCAGGAGAGGTCTGCTGCGCCATGTGGGTATCTCCCTGGCCAGGGATTGAACTCGTGCTGCAGTGGCTGTGGTTAGCTTCACAGTGCTGTGCTTAACCCCTTGTGCCCTAGTTTGAATTTTTTATAATAAGCATTGATGACTTTAGTTTTTTCCAATTCAAGAAACAAAACAAAACAAAACAAAACAAAACAAAACAAAACAAAACAAAACAAAAAGAGCAAGCATGAAAGTGAATGAGGGGATACCAAGAAAAACCCAAATAGAAAGTTGTTTTGTTGAGGGCAGAAGGTGCAAAGTCACACCACACCGGCATCATCCACGTACTTCTTTCCATACTGTGACAACAGTCCAGAGCCCTCTAGGCTTGGCCCCTCAGCCAATAAGTAGACACGCTTGCTTTCCCCATGGGAAAGGAGGGGCTCAATGTGATAGCTGTTGCCCATTATGAAGAGCAGAGTGCAGAAAACCACAGCTCTGGAGCATCTGCTTGGGGTCTAATCCTAACTCTGCCACCAGCTTGCTGTGTGACCTCAGAAAAGTTTATTAACTCCTCTGTGCCTTAGTCTCCTCATTTGTTTACTGCTGAGAATAATGTTGACCTGTTGTGGGGATGCCATGTAAGGCATTTACTATGTGGTCAGTATGGAATAAATGCTTGGTGTTATTATTGCTGCTGCTGTTTAATATGAAAAAACCAATTGACCAACAGATTCTTTCCCTTCAGTGACCAGAAATGGGAGATGTGAGGGACTGTCCCGGTTATTGCAATGTCCAAAGAGTCAGAGAGAGGTGAGAGGGAAGCCAGAAAGATCCATGTACAAACAAGAATTATGAAAGACAAACTGAGTAAGCAGAACTCAGTCTGGAAGTTACTTGAGGGCTCTCTGAATGGTGACAAAATACGAGAGGAAATCCTGTGATCTCATAATTTCATAACATTTCTTTCACATCCCTCTTACTCTTAAACATGAAAATGCATTTTTTTTTTTTTTTACCTCATCTCTATGTCCCATAAAGCAACATCGTCGCTGATCCAGGGATTGGACGGCTCGGCCGGTGTGATCAAAGGATCGTATTCCACATACTGTTCCGTGTAAGTGATCAAGCTGCAGGAGAGGATAGAAACAATGGGTTGACTACACAGGATACCATTTGTACTTTATGCAGAGAGGGTAAAAGGCCTTTGAGTCTGCTCCGAGGCTGAGGTCATTTCCTAGGAGTGAAAGGTAGTGCAAATGGAGAGAGCAACATGGTTGAGGAATACAGTGTTAACCCTCATGCTGTCTCTCTAGGGGGTTGGATGAAGCAGGTAGAGACCCTGGAGGGTGAGGAATCTGCCAACATGGAGGAGCTAGCACAGAGAACATTGCTGGGTTCCTGCTCAGTTTTATTAATCTTCCAGGAAGTGCCCCCTGCACATGTAGAGGGCTATTTCAGGGGCTGCCATGTATATGTAAGTCCTGCATCTAGTCATGGCAGAATGACCAGGAATGGTCACCGAACCCAAGCTGGGTAGCACAAAAGTGAAACTGGGAGCTGTCATGGATCGAAGTGTATCCCCCCCAAATTCCTATGTTGACACCCTACATGCAGTGTGACTGTTTCTGAAGATAGATCCTTTAAGGAGGCAATTAAGTTTCAATGAGGCCCTACAGGCAAGATCCTCATCTTAGAAGACTGTCCTTAAAAGAAGAGGAAGGGACACCAGGGTTGTCTCCTCTGTGTGTGCATGTAGAGGGACAGCCACATGTGGACACAGCAGGAAGATGGCCACCTGCAAGCCAGGAAGAGTGGCCCAACACCAGAAACCTGCCCCATTGGCACCTTCATCTTGGACTTCCAGCCTCCAGACAAAATATATCTGTTGTTTAAGCCACTCAGTCAGTGGTGTTTTGTTAGGGTAGCCTGTGTTAACTAATCAGAAGGAAATGGAAAAAATATAGAAAGTTCATTAGGAAAATAATTTCTCATCAAGCAGTTATAACATGCTTGTTCCCTTAGCACTGCTTCTGCCTGATTACTATATGGATTTGTTATTTTCAAATGATAAACTCACATCCTTAGACAGGTTAGTGAATGCTCTCACCACCATCATCGGCTACTCTATGATGCTTCTTGGGTGGAGGTGTGGAGCTGGCTGATTTGTTCACACACTCCTGTCCCACTCTTTAGAGTCAGTGGCAAAAAGTCACCACATGACCACCCAAGGTAAAGCCTGTAATCAGTCAGTCATTCAATCAACATTATCCAGCACCTACTGGTGCCATGAAATAGTGAAGCACTTCTGGATCACAGGAAGGTGCTGGTGCTGAGCTAACAGAACTCACGGCTTCCCATTACACTGATCACTCTTGGGTATTATAGCTATATTTATACACATATTTTACATACATACATATTTATTTATATATGCATATGATATCATATATTTATACCTATGTAAAACATGTATTATATAAAACATAATTTGGGAGGAGTATATACAATGGAGGTTGTTATCATGATAACTTCCCAACTTAGATTGCTGGTTAGGTCCTACCTTTGAGAAACCTAGAGAGGATGGAAATAGTGAAAAAAAATTCAGAAGACTTAGTCTGACCTCTTGAAAAATTTGGAGAAAAAGTTTTAGATTTTACCTTCTCTTCCTTACCAAAAAAAGAAAGACTCATAATGCTGCTAGAAATTGTATAGAATGTGACCTAAAAGAGCATGGGGGGTAAGCTGGAGAAAGAAGAGGTGCTGTTCATTGTGGGTTGAGGCTTCCTCGGAAGGAATCTGAGGAGCAGAGTTCACGTCTGGGATCCTACCAACAGGGCAGGTAGGGGAGAGATGGCGAAATCCCCTCTGCTCTGGGAGGAGGGGCAGTGAGCGAGGTGGCTGCTACAGAAAGGCCCATTCCTGGGGAAACAAGGCAAGGCAGGCAGAGCATTAAGGAAGAGGGAACCTCAATTCTACTTGGAAATACAATCGAAATGTGGCTGAGCACACACTAGGAAATCAGGACCTCCAACTGGGAAGGAACCTTGGAAACTGTGTGAAAAGGGGTTGGATAGCAGGATATATTTGCCCCCCCCTGTGGAATGGGCATTTTCTTTTCTTTTCTTTTTTTTTTAAAGATCTATTTTATGCATACAAGAGCTGGGGTACAAGGCCAGAGGCGCGGGAGGGTGAGTGGATTCACCAGAGACAGAGCAGGGAATGGAACAGGCAGACTGAAGAAATACACCGTTGAAGGGAGCAGCGGGCGAGACAGGAGAGGTCTGCTCGCCATGTGGGTTGCTCTGAGGCCGGCAGGGATCGAACCGGCACTGCAGAGGCTGTGTACAACTTCACAGCACTGTGCTCAACCGCCTGCGTCACCAGGGAGGCCCAGAATGGGCATTTTCTAAACTACAAGCCACAAAAGGGAATTGGGGCAGGAAGATGGTCTGATTAGAAAAAGGAATGAAAAGTAGAGTAGCACTGAGAGAAAGAAAAGCAAGTTTGGTTCCTGTCAATTAACTAATCTTTTTCACATTAGAGAAGGTGGGGAGGAGAGCGAATATAAAGAAAGAACTTAATTGCAGGTCACCCAGAAAAAAAACAACTATCTAATATAGAAACTCAGGATGACTGTCGGGATGTGGCAGTGGATTCAGCCTCTCAGAAAGAAGAGCACATGTCAGGCCACGTATCTTGTCCTTCCAGATACGGATCTGAATAAAAGCAACCTGGTAATCATGTTTCCTCTGTGTTTTTTTCCTGTCACCTAAGATGGGCTGGGAGAAAGGAGGAGCCAGGATCCATGGTGTCTGGAATTTCATAAAAGCAAAGTTGTAATGACCTCCTTGGTCCCTTCTTCCCCCCTTCTCTGAAGCTATCATTAGACATGAAATTCACAGGCTTCTATCACCCTAGCAGGTTCTTAATAGACCCTTAAGGTATCCAGTCCTTCGCTGTCTTATCTCATTTCATTAATTACATTTCATGATCACAGAGGGTCAAGAGGCAGAGGAAGAACCAGCATCCAATTTCAGGGAGCAGCAGCGATCTTGAGATGGGCCAGCAAGGTGATGGTGAAGAAATCAATTCAGCAGTCAGCCGTGACACACACATGACCTCCAGGGACAGGTAAGGGCAAGTCAAGTACAGGAACAGATATAAAATGCTACAGCTCATCTCTCCAGGTGGGGGCAGCATGGCATGATGCCTGCAGGGCCAGGTGTGGCTCAGGGTCACTGCCAGTGGGCAAAAGTATCTCGGAAAGTCCAGCAAAACATTAAGGCTTTCCAGACAATTTGGAACTACAGCACATAGATTTTTGCACTTGCAAAATTGGTTTGTCCAGTACTCTTAGGCTTGGGTGAACTGAAATAAAACACCCTCCAGGCTGGCAAAGAAGAGTAAGAATTTATTATTTAGCAAGTTCAATGACTGAGAAAAAATTGGTGAGGTAAGTGACCAGAGGCACCTCTAAGCAGTGTATGCAGATGAATAAACTCTATGCCTCTTGGCATGTTGTCTCTTGTTTAGAAGAAGACTCTTTTGCTTTAGAATCAAGACTATGGACACGGTTATTATCGATCAATTTCAAACAAAAAATTGGAGTCTATTTTCCCAACCCTTGAATCTGGTCTGGACTTGTGATTTGCTTTATCTGATAAAATGCAGCAGGAGAGAGGAGCACCAGTTTCAAACCTCAGGAGGCTCTGCATGCTTCTGCCCTCTCTCCTAGAATGCTGCTGTGCCGGTGGGGGCAACAAGCCTGCTGGCAGTGAGAGACCACGACAGGGGAGAGCACAGTTGTCCCAGCTGAGGTCATCCCAAGCCACCTGAAGCCAAACATCTGAGATAGTCCAGGTAAGATCAGTTGAGCTGCCTACTCAATCCCAGCTGCACATGGACACGAGGGTGAGCTGATGAAGCCAGCGGGCTCATAGATAGGTGAGAAAATGCCTATTGTTGGAAGCTACTATGTTTTAACGGGTTTTGTTACTCAGCAATAAGTAGCTGATGCACTTGGTTTGCTATTGACAAGATATAGGGTTGGTTGGAGAGGAGGAAGAACTATTAAAGTTTGTTGACTGGAAACAAGAAAATAAGCCAACAGCTACAAAGCAGAAATAGAGACTCAAAGAGCTTAACGGTCTGGGGCCATGAGGGAAAGGGAAGCAGTTGTGGCACTTTGTATGACCTCGGTCACCGAGCTTTAAAACCCAGTCTAGGAACATGACCCTCAGTCATCCAGAAGAAGGAACTGACAGGTGGTGTCTCGGCTTTAGGAAGCAAGCACATAAACCATTTCTAAGGAAGATTCTCATCTAAAAGAGCTAAAAGGAAGAGCTTAAGGTGTTAAGGGTATTTTATCCAGAAATTGCATTTGTGCATATGGGATCATACTTTCTGAAGCAAAAGCTGGGTAACATCTCAGGCACTGTTTCCAGGTGCAATGGACAGCCTGGGAAATATGGTTTGGTTGCGGTGGTATTCACACTCATAGGGACAATAGGGCAGAATAATGAAACCGCTGAGTAAGAAAATCTGTGCTGGATGCTAACCTCTTCGTGGGACCCCTCTCTACCCAAAGGTGGCAGGTAGTAGTGACACAGGGGTCAGACGAGGCAGACACACCGACTGTGGCTGGCAGGGCAGCCTCAAGGGTTCTCTGTGTAGAGAGAGGGTGGGCACAAAACTGCCATTTGCAGGGCCAGCCTCACTCCTTGGCCAGCCCTTTGTTCCTTTGAATGCCATCCACCAGTTCATTCCAGTCTCATGCACATGAATTTGGCTCCCTTCCAAAGCACCATTAGGCACCACACTGGAAAATAGTAATAATCACTCACATGTGCTAAGTACCAAGCACTGAAGCAAGCTCTGTCATGGGTTAACTCCTTCCCCTGTCAGTAAGGACTATTGCTCTCTCCCCTTTAAAGAGGTGGAAACAGAGGCAGAGAGAGGCGAAGTTACTTCCTCGAGGTCACACAGTTAGAAAAGGCACTGGCAGCATCAAACCCAATGGTTCCCACCTATCCCCCAAATTGTTCTGTTTTGCCCCTTTTCACAGTTTTCTTATTCCCATCCCAGCGGGGCCCGGATGCACCCTGTGACACCTCCTCCCCCCACCTATGGCCCTTGAATTTCAGGAACTGGATTTTCATGACACCACTGCTCCTGCTTCTCCCCAATATCAATTCTCAAGGAACTAACTGAAAAGGGATAAAATCCTTTGCCAGATGCCTCCTGGCGAATTACCACCCACCACCCAGAGCCGGCCTGGGAAGCCAGACCTGGAGTGGGTGTGTGCCCACCTGAGATAACTCAGCCTTCACCTCTGGTGTGTCCAGTAGCTGCCAGCACCACCTCCCTGTCCCCACCCCTCCAAAGCTGCCGACAGACCAGGGCTCCAGGCTGCTTTATCTCCTGCTACCACCCGGCTCCTCTCCTTCTGCCCTCTCTGTCTGGGAGTTTCCTTGTGGCGCTAATGAAAAACCCTGGTGTCACATTGAAAAGTTGCCAGTTATTGCTGCTGGGAATACAATCCAGTCACTTCTGGGCGGAGACTCGTGAAAGCCTTAGGCTGAGGAGTGAGGAGTGGCTGGTACGAATAATCTCTTCAAGGCTTCAAGGCTAGAGGCCTCTCCAGCATAATTAGATGGTACCAGGTGGCACCCCTACCTCCCTGACAGCACATAAACAAACAATAGGCACTGCGGCCTTCTCCCCTACCACACTGAGGCTTTCTTCCTGGCCAGCCTCAGCACCTGGGGCCTCAGCACACCTGCCCGGTGGTGGGGGGCTCGGCCTCCCTCAGGTTCAGGCTCTTTCCTGAATGTAAGAAAAAGCTGGGTGTCCTTTCTGCTGTGACTTCTTGGGTCAGTCTTAGAGGCTGGCAGTGGCTTCTCCAAGCTCCCAAGGGGTCCCATGAAGCCACTGGAAGAATATTCAGAAAGCAAGTTGCTGCTATCTGCTTACAATCACTGAATCTGAATCCCTAGAGTCAGGGTTTAGGAATTTCCATTCGTAACCCCTTAAGCCCCATCTGCCACCTGGACTACCAGTCTCCAAACCAGGGGATCTGAATAATAGACCCAAGAATGATGCACCCTCAGATAAGTCACCTAGGATTGCAGACTCTCAAGTGTCCTTTGCAGACCAGACATAGCTGGCACAACCCTCACAACATCCTAGGCAGCCATTTCTGTCTCTCTCTCTCTCTTTCTTTTTTTTTGGGGGGGGGGCGGTAAAAAAAGTTCATAGTTCCTCACAGGCCGTGGCACCAATGGAATTTAGATCATTCCAGTGATTTCACTCACAGGCACTCTTCTGGGACAAAGGCAACCACAGTGAGATCTGAAAAGCAGTATTAAAACCAGGTACTCTGGGAGTACGAATAATCTCTTCTTCTTAATGATGGGTTAACTGATAGTGGGGTGAGGTGGCTTCTACGGAGTTAGCAGAAAACAGGGACTCCAGAATAATTGGTGTAAAGGCGAGCTCCAGCCAAGGCAACCCTCCGAAGCATTTGCAGTAGGGAAAATAGGAATATCAGTGATTCTCAATGGGGTCAATTTACCACCCCCTCCCCAATCCCTAGGGATGTATGGTAATGACTGGAGACATTTTTGGTTACAATTGCGAGGTGGAGTTTTGATATCTACTGGGTAGGGGCCAGGGATGCTGCTGGATATCCTATAATGCATAGGACAGTTTCCTGCAACAAATTCGGCTCAGAATGTCAATAGAGACACTACTGAGGAACTTTGGTGTACACGTGAGCTAGCCTGTGAGACATGAGTCCAAATCCAGGGATATCCGTGACTCCCCGAAGGCAGGCATTAATTCAGGTTTTTGACTGGGGAGTGGGCTTCCCTTAGCCTCACATTGCTGTTATTTATCTAGAAAGAAAATATGAATCATCCCAGGGCCAGCAGTGAAAGGCTGAAAACACCAGCCCCCTGTATGACCCAGGCTTACAGAACATTTCACTCTGATATGCTAAATGCTAAGACCCCACCTAAACCCTTGATACTTCAGCTATCTGTCATTGCTTTAACAGTAGCATATGGATGAACAAACGCTCAGCATTAGGCTGCCTGACCAGACTTATCCCATACAGATTCCCAGGTGGTCACCCCTCTTTCCTGAGACTTCAAAAACAGACTATTTAGTTGACAAAATTGAATCTCCCATGAGTTAACGGAGTGGAACCAGCTACTGGTGCAGATTGTAGCACAAATGCTCCTGCACAAGCCAGGCTGGAGGTGCCAAATATTTTCTTTCCAGTTGATTCGATGCAGTTCAGTGGTTGATGGTGTGTGGAGGCGGAACGCCTCCTGATGGTCCAGTCCCCTCCTGTTTGTGCAGCCAGCACCTCAAAGGGCACAGATAATTTCCTTCATCCTATAAAGTGAATCTAGGCATTTTATAGCTTAAAGGGGAACAGAGCAATTCCATTTGAATTAATCAAGAGGCTGAAGGCAAAAGCGCATGATGTAGCTTTTAAGGATGCTCTTCCTTGATTGACAAGGACCCATAGCCACCTCCCTGGAAAAGCTTTAGCAACAGAAGATTTCTTGACACCATTCAAGGGAGGTCTGTTACCTTAGATGTACTAACACAGGGCCTGTGGTTTTTTCACCCATCAGTTTAAGAAATGACTGTGGTCTGCCTCTTGGCATTATTTATTAGCAATGACCCTGGGACATTTCTCCTTTGTTACATTAGAAGACAGCTGGAATATTATTGAGGGGAAACATACCTTTCAGCCACTTTGGACATTTTTAAACAATGTCTGTCAATCTGTGCATTCAAAAATGTTATCTGGGGGAAGAGAAAACAGGGGTGTTAAGACCAAGATAAACCTCTATTTATCCCAAGAATTCAAATTCTACATTTTCATCAAGATCCAAATACCTTTTCTGGAAAGACTTTGCACTTCAGCAACCATTCAGCACCTTTGTATTTTTCTGCCACACTTAAGATTCATACTTCAATTTAGCCTATGTCACTTAGCCTTCAGTATTGTGTTCTAGCTAAAGTCTTGATCCCCCAAAGTAATTGCAAACTGAAAGGGAGCATATATAGACATAGACATACCTCATATCATACTTTGCTTTATTGTGCTTTGAAACACTGCATCTTTTTTTTTTTTTTTTACAAGTGTCTCCACCAGCAAAAAGAGAACCACTCATAGGAGGCTAAGGTGATGGTTGGCATTTTTTAAGCAGTAAGGTATTTTTAATTGAGGTATGTACACTGATGTTCAAAAACATAATGCCATTGCACAATTAACTCCAGTAAAGCATACATGTGGTGAGAAACAAAACAAACAAACAAACAAACAAACATGTGACTCTTATGGCAGTATTTGCTTTATGGCAGTGGTCTGGAACCAAACTTGCAGTATCTCTGAGGTATGACTGTATACTGCAAAATTTAGCAACAGCATGGACAAGTAATGAACACACACTGTAAGGATCTGGCTTAACTAGCTCCAGTGACCTTCCTCTGCTCATTTTTCATGCCTACATGGCAGATTAGAATCATTCCACAGCTATTTTATATACACCTGTTTCCTCTTCTCCAGTCAACAATAAACTTGTCATGGGCAGACACCTAACAATTTATTCCTTTGAATTCTTGCCCAGAAGTCAGTAAGATATAATGTAAAGAGTAGATCCTAAAATTACTTCATTACTAGGAAAGTCCAAAAAGGAGTAATAATTAGATATTGACTTCTGACCTGGGTTGACCAGTTAACCCATCATCAAGAACAAGGTAGCATTGAAATGACATTGACAAGGGGGTTTCTTTATTTTCAAATGTTCCTTTTGAACTATAGCCATAAAGTCAGTGGTGTGGCACTGGTTTGCTCTGGAAGTGCATTAAAATTCTAAAGACCCCACAGTGTCTGAGTGCCTCCCTCCTCCAGCTCCCACAGCAGTCACCCAAGGCACTGGGATCACCCATTGATGTCCTTCTCTAGAGTTGCTGGAGGAATGCAGCAGAAAGTTTTCCCTCTCAAGCTTCCAGGGTTGTTCACACACAGACTCAAAGGCTCAAGTGCCCCACAGCTGGATTCCACTGTGGTTTACAGGAACTCAAAGCTTCCACAGCCTTCAGAGGTGAACATTCAAAGCATTTTTAAACTGGCCATGCCTCCCCATGGGAGTGCAGGAGTCACTTCATTCACCTGTTTCCGGATGTCCTCCTTCGTAGTTTTTCTGACTGGCTGACTGGGTATGTGCAAAGGGCTTGACTGGGCATCTTCAGTCACACCATACACTGACTAGAGAAGAAGCAAGAACATAGAATCATGTACCCTGAATGTAGAAGAGGGCCTCCTGGGACAGCTAGTTTGACTACTTATCCAATGTTTCCAATCCCCTCTGTGACATCCTGACAAGAAATGATCAGTATCTGCTTGAATTTTTTCAATGATGGCAATTCTGCCTCTTGAGACATCACATCCCATCTTTGGGTAATGGCTGTTGGAAAATATTCCCTCTTACTAAGCTGAAAATGGACGCCTTGAGTATCAGTGTTTCTACAAACATGGTCCTTAGGTCATGTACAAAGACTCATTTAGAAATACTTGGTAAAGCTGAACATTGCAGAGCCCCACCCCACATGTAACTGAATTAGAAACTGTGTGGTTGGGGTTTGGGAACCTGCACAAAATACCCACAGGTGATTTTGAGGCACAAGAAATTCAAGAACAATTGCTAAAGATGATGCACTAAAGATCTCTAGGTTTTCTGTTGGCCCACAGGGGACACACCCATCTGGTGCAAACTTGAGATGGCAGAGTTTCAGATTTTTTCCTTTCCAGTTAAACAGTCTCCTGGCCTCAGTTTCTCTACATGTTCACAGCTTTGGCTACTTTTTAAGCTGTTCTTTGTGTTTGGGAGCAGATTAAAAATAATCTTTGCGAATGTGTAGTTGAAATCTATAAAACCCTGAAGGGCTCAGATAAGGGTGGAAATGGGCTCCATGAAATTCTGGAATACTATCATTTTGGGGGTCCTTAAAGATGAAATGAGGACATTTTAAAACTAACATTATAAACTATAATACAGTGGGCATCATTATCTTAGTGAAGAACAAAATATATAGGCAAATTCAAGAAGTTTATATTTCTTATCTTATCTATATGAGTGAGTAAAAGGATTACTCGTGACAAGAAATACAGATGTTTGGGGACCCATCTCTCACCTTTTGGAATTAATATTATGGAGGACTGCTTTGTCCTCCTAATATGGTGTTATTCTAAGGTTATTCTAAGGGTGGGATGTACCAACTTGGGATGGCCTGAGTGTGACACCCTTGGGTGTACCATTACCACGCATTTCCAATAGTGAAACACCATGATCTTTGACTCATTCATAGTTGGGCAAGAGGTAACTTGAGTTTGGAAGATTAAACTACACTAACAGATTTCCATTTGTTTCAAACATCAAGTTTACCTTCATGTGTTAGACTTTGCTACTTTCCGCGTTTATTTTCCTTTCATAGAGACACCTGCTACTCTCCCTTCAACCTCACTATATGGTGACCCCACATGGGAAGTCCCTGTAGCAGCCCCCATTCTGGTGCCCGCACCCACTCCTGACATCCTTTGCGTTTCCAACACAGCCTGGACACTGCTGCCTGTTGGTGCCTTTCATCCCCTGCCAGACTATGGGCTTTGTGAGGATTTGCCACAGTGTTTCAGCAGCAAGAACAGTGCCAAGAACACATCAGTAACTGCATAAATATTTGTAAGATAAATGAATGAAATAGTTTCAAAGGATAAAATGCAGTAGAATTCCAAACAGCAAATTATAGTTTGAACAGTAGCAGAAATGGAAGGGCTATTCACATCACGAATTTTTAATTCAGCTAAACTAGCGAACCTTTTTAACCTTTTGTGGATTCTTCAAACGTCGACATTTTCTGATATCCATTTCTGTTGTGTTCACACAACCTGGCTGAGAAAAAAAAAAAGATGATCACATAAATTACTAAGTAAAAATCACTCCTCTTCCAATATAGCCCAAGTGACACCATCAGAACCAACTGGTATCTTTCCCATCACAGATAATTCACGATGACTTCCATTTTGCCTTTTATAATTTTTTTACAAAGATGTTTTGCCTCCAATATGTATTCCTCCACAGAGTTCTCATATGAAACATAAAAGCTTACCTCATACTATCTAAGGCTGATAGGTAGAGGGGATAGCTACAGTTTCTAAGAGTAAACTTATTCAAAAAGTGGCCAAGTCTTTTCACCACAGCCTTTGTCACTTCACTGACCCAGACATTAAAAACCTCCCAATATCGATCTCCCCGGTGGTGCAGAGGTTGAGCCCTGGGTTGCAAAGCTGCCTGCAGAGGGTCCCACGTGGCGCGCAGACCTCTCCTGCCGCCCACTGCTCCCCTCAGCAGTGTACTTGGGTCCTTCTGCCTGCTCTGCTCCCTGCTCTGACTCTGGTGAATTCTCTCACCTTCCCGCGCTTCTGACTGCACCCAGTGCTTGTATAAATAAATAAATCTTAAAAAAAAAAAAAAAAGATTTTACGGAGAAAAAGTTCATTATTAAAAAAAAACAAACAAACAAAAAAAACCTTCCAATATCAGGATGGGGAATTATTTCTTTGGTTTTGCTTTTCACTGGCTTTTAGGAAGGCCAAAATAGTTTATTCATTTTTAGTTCCATTTCATGAGGGGAACACAATATTTGCTTTAAATGAAGTTAAAAATACAGTCGAACCTCATTTTTCAAGGAGTTTGTACTTCTGACTTTGTCCACCTGATAAAATTTACTCCTGCTCCCCAAGTCAATACTCTTGGTCATTCGTTTGTGGACTCGCCCTGAGCGGCCGCAATTCTGAGCCCGCCATGAGCATGTGCTCAGCTGAGGCTGATAAAGTGGCTCTGCCTGATGGCTGCATCTCACACTAAGCGTCATTTCACACTCATTTCAGTCTAAGTGGTGCCTCGTTTCCCACATTTTTGAGATTGTTGGTGGTATGACTGGTTAAGATGACCTCCAAGCACAGGCCGGAGGTGCTATCCAGGGTTCCTAAGCACAAGATGACTGGATGTGCCTTATGGAGAAAAAAATATATGTTAGAGAAGCATCCTCCAGGCTCCAGTTGTGCTGATGACCCTGTGGGGGTCAGTGTTAAAGAATCAACAGCACATAGCTAGTGTCTTAAAATAGAAACAAAGTTATGTACTAATCTGTTTATACAAATATTGTGTCCAGAGCTCACAGGCATCTAACTCTCATTCTCCAAGGAGCAATGGTTCAATATTGGCTAGTCCAATGTTCATGGAGATGTTCTAGATATAACAACTGAGAAGAATGAGAATAGGCTGCATTTGAAAGAGAATATTCTAAGATTTTGAACAGAATGTCAGGAAAAATGGAAACTGTTTATTTGGGGAATGACAACTTCTAAGGTCCAAAGGTCCCAGGTGGAATTCTCAGAGTGCCCCTTATACTGATTCCATGTTTTCATGGAAGGATAATTTTTAAAAGGTGGTACTGACATGCATTCTGGAAAATCTATTGAAATTATATGAATGAGTGGTAAAAGCAATTTCACAAAGCTTAGCAATTTTAAGAATGAGACACCTTGTGGCAAAAAGCAGTCTTTTAAGTGGAAGAAGGAGGAAAATAAAGAGAGTGGAGAGCCAAGCAGTTTTCTCACCACTGGCCTGTGGACATCCCAAAAGGCCCGTTCTTGACTATCCAAAATTTTCCTTTCTGTCTTGTCCTTTTTCCGATCAATCCTGAAAGAGTAAAGAAAGGAAATCAGAGGCTTTTGTATTTGGCACTTCCTCCTGATGCTTGCCCCAGCTCTCTGCTCCTGTTTCTAGAAGTTCAGTGCAAACAGGGACATGGTACCTACGCGGTCTCTGCTCTCTGCACAGCTGTAAATATGATGTTAACTCCCTGTAGGAGAACCTCAAGTCTGTACCTTTGTTTTAGGTACTTATGCTTTCGGCTAGATGTCAAACTACCGTAGGTATGTGATAAATGTGGTGGGTCTAAGCATGCACACATGCAACTGTCCACTTGAATGATTAGGATCTGGATGATTAAGGACTTAATTATCCATGGACCCACCCCCATCCAAGTGGATACCGCATATACAAATTATAACAAAGAATCTAACCACAGGCTTGAGGTGTCTCATCTTAAATTTGAAAGTTTAGATTCAGAGACAGTAGAAATGTCTTCAAAATTCTGCAATTATGTGTTTGGAAAGTCGCTTAAACCATCTGGCTTTCAAAAAGCAGAGTAATAGCCCTAATAGGTGAGAAGATCCAGAAGGCAAATATCAGTGGCCTCAGCTGGGAAGATACAAATTACAAAGGGGGAGTGACAGGCGACAATGCCAGATTTTTAATGTTCTGATCAGGAGCATAGACAAGAGATCTTTTAAAAAGTCTGCATTGCTTTATATTATCCTTCTAAGTAAAATGTAACTGAGATTAATTGTATTGTAACTTCTGTTACTTGGTTCTCTTGGGAGCACTTTAGTTTACTGGACTGAAACAAACCCATAATCACCCAGTGATTCTTGTGATAATTACTGTGTACTTAAATGTTCCAAATTATAATGTAATCACAGAGTTAATCAAAAAAGTTAATCGAGAAATACCACATATGTGCAAAGTGACAATTTCCCCTCCTTTGATAACATGTGACCCTAGTTGGTCCTGAAAGTATAAATTAGCATTCCTCTTTGCTTCCGGGTGGCTCCTGAGGATGCAGGCTCAATGCTGCTTCCTTCTCACCCACTTTCTCTTTCCTTCAGCGTTAGGGTCCTGGTATAGCTCAGCACCCAGTGCCTTGCTCTGGAGTTGCTGGGAGCATTGGGGGAGTCAGCAGGCCACTCACATCATGGGGGGAAGCAAGGCTGAGGTTGCAAAGGGAAGACGAGTGCAATATCACCACTGGCACAAGGCTAGGTCATTTCCAGCTGTGACCACACCTAGTGCCAAGGCTCCCCCACACTGCCTGAGACTGGTGGCTACAATGCTGCCCAGGGTGTGCTGGAGGAGGGGGTGCTTAAGGTCAGCGCCAGACACAGTGGGTACCCAGAGGAAAAGTTCTCGCCTGCTCCCAGCTCAGACTCCCAATTCCCACAACCCATTTCTTTTTTTTCTTCTTCTTTTTTTTAAGTACTCAACAGATAGTATTTAAAAAAAATATTTTATTTTATATAATTCTTACATCATTTTTCATCTTTGTACAATATATGCATTTTCCAACCCATTTCTGTTAACAATCCCAGCCAAACCAGAAACCATTGCTGGAAAGGTCGAGAGGACCCAGTCTGAGCAAGTCCATTTCCCAGAATTAAAAGGATCTGGTTGACATCACGGGTGTAATCTTGGGGACATCTTTCCTCACTTTTCATGTTTCTGTGGTAAAGAAGGAATTTTTGCTATACTCTGCAGGAGGGAAAAATACACTCCAACTTTTCTCCTCCTTTTATCTCTGGTCCTCCAGAAGAGGAAGAGAGACACAGATTATTGGCAGATTTAAAAGAAGAAATCAAGAAGCTCAGATGGATTCTTTTTGGATCCTTCTGGGTCAGATTGTTCTCTACATGCAGTAAAGTTAAAGGGGTCAACTCTGCCCTGGTTGGGGGTGGGGGGTGGTGGTGTACTGCAGATGCTCAGCTTTGTCTGGGATGGGTAAGTTTAATTCCACAGTAAAGATCTGTGGTCACAGATCCAAAATCAAGTCCTATAATTTAGCTTTTATGAGTAATTAGCTGACATTTTGGGCTCCAAATGTCTGACATCTGTGCTATTTTTTTTTTTTTTTTGATTCTGAACCCTTTCCCAGGGGAGAAAGAGGGGGACTGAGATGTTGGCCTCCCCATAACTTCAACATGTTTTCCATTGAAGACAAACTCTCTAGACCTACAGATCAAGTAGGCCAGATGCTTTCCAGCCTCTTAGCACAGAAAAACAACTGTCAATCTCTTTGGGAAATAGGTGTATCTTCTTATAACCAGCGTTTGGAGGCATGCCATTGCCTACTGGAATATAGACTTTAGAAATTATTTTAGAGTGCCATTGGTTGCAAAGATAAAATTTATCCATCCTGACCTTAATTTTTGCTCTCACGTGAGATTAGAGTGTCTAGCCATGGCTGACCTGGTGTGGGAGAACACCCCACTTTCACACCACCTCCAAAATTTTCTTTTTGCAAGAAAAGTTCATGCAACCTTGTGAAGTTCACCTACTTTACTTGTGCTTCTGCTTGCATAAAGATGAATTCCCACTTCCTTGCAAAGGCCCTCTGGAGTCTTGCTAAGTTTTCCTAATGAGAAATGAAAATCCAAGAGAAGGTATTAATCATTGCAGGTTGCACATCGACACCCATGCTTATTACAAGGCAGCCATCTATTTTGGTTACTCTCAACAAAATAGCAGGGCCTCACTTTCAACCCACTGGACATGAACCCTATTTGACTTTGTACCAAACAGTGCTGTACAGAGCAGAACTATTAATATTCATTTAAATAGCCATTCAGTCTGAAGTCTCTGTGACTTACCTGATTCCTCTAATATGTGTTTTACAAGAACACAACTCACACAACACTTTTCCTGGGGACTGAAGAGAGGGAGGATGGTTTGTGGCTACTCATGCAGGATTTGGGGAAGGGATGGAAGCGGGGGTGGATTGCAACCTGTTGGACAGCTCAGAGAGCAAAACCAAGAATGCATTTCCTAAGGCTCGCCTTTCAGCAGGAAGCTGGGAAGGTGGAAGGAAAGGAGAACCAAAAGGCCCTGATCCTTGAAAGTCAGATTTGAAAGTGGAAAAAAGGGAGAGCCTATGTTTGTGGTGTTCATGAAAGGAACCCCCAAAAACGGAAAGAAAGAAAAGTCACCTGAGTTGCCTTTACAGGTAGAAGGGCACACACTTTCCTCTGAGGCTGTTGACTTGCCTAGAAGCAAGGTGGGACAACGAGCGGGGGTATTTGACAGCCCCCTAATGATCAACCTAATTCTGATGGAATGCAAGGCTGGAGCCCTCATTCTGCTATGTATTTTCATAGAGCTTATGCCAACACTAATTGATTACTCTCATTAGTGGATTATTAATATAAAAGGAGCTTCCCTGGGCAATCACTGCATGTAAACTCAGTTATCACCAAGGTTTGGTGTATGAGTACCACAAGCCCTACTCCTTTGATTCTTCCACTGTTCACAGGAAGCCAAGAGTGTAACGTCTGAATGTCAGTCAATCGGGGGAGAGGAGTTAATACATTATGACACAGCCAGGTCACTGTTATGACCTGGCAGCCACTAACGATAGTAAATCAGATTCTTAGCACTGACATAGAAAGTGTCTCAATGCACTTAGAATATATGATTTTAGAAACAGACGACTTACACAATGATGTGCATGGTATGATTCGACATTTTTGGAAAAGAAAAAAATGTATGTATGGAAGAAAGCTTAGTGAAGAGCGATTGCAGGTTATTTTCTTTGCTGTTCAAATATTTTTCCAAAAGGGATATATAATCAGGAAAGATAATAAAATTCTGAAATCTAAAAAGAAAATGTTTTAGTTTCTAACCACTTTTAGGCAGAACTTCAACCTCGAAGAGGATTTTAATGCCTTTCTTTACAACCACCAAAGCACAACACTAAGGCAAGAGAAGAGAAAAATCCAATAACACACACCAGGAGCTGTGCTGTCTTGCTTTTGTTTAGGACTTTTTCTAGAACATGGAAAATGTGGGGAAGAGAGACACAGGGTAGAGGGGTGCATGCTTCGGCACTAGGGCCCTTCCTGGCAGTCGTGTCAGGGAAGTGATGTAGGCAAGTCAGAGTTAAAGCATTTTGCATAAAATGCGTGAAATAAGAAGGGGGTTTTCTGACAGAGGGGTGGCTGTGGGTATATGGGACAGATGTGGGCAGGGACTGGGTGCCCAGTATGTTCAGAGTTGCAGAACAGCCATCCTAGGGTTTTCATGGGAAGATTATGTTCCAACATATTTTTGTTTAATGATCCCTATTGATAGGCAAACTTCAGCCAGGTTCCCAAGTTCTGGATGAATTCCTGCACAGCCTCCCCCTCTACAATTTCCCCCACTTACAGATCCTCTGATGCCAGTGGGGAGGGCCATGCCCAGGTTCAGGTCCTGCCCACTGATGACATGTACGTTCCCCTTGGGGAGTGGACAGGGGAGTGAGGGCGCAGTTGGGTTGGTTAACTTGGGCAGAGGCACCCAAGATGACCAGGTATGATGGAGTGCAGCCTGTTTGTTTTGGAAGACTAGTGCAGTGACAGTGGGGGAACATTAGAAGGCGGGAGGGTTATGATGGGTCTGCTAATGCTGGTTATCCAGGAAAGGCTCTTCACTGCCCTTAATGCTGTCTTTCCTCCTAGCTGCCGCCCCTCCATCATGTCATTATTTGGCAGCACCCCCTCTGGAGGATACATGAAAGTCTACTCAATTTCCCTAATTCTCCATGACCCACATAAGGTTTAGTATGGGGGAAAGATGCTGACACCAAAAACATGAATGATAAAAAGTTATCTGTGAGTTTTAGTTTTCTTGTGTTGGCTTTGTTAGATGGGAATAGATCTGAACATGGCAGGGCTTCAATTTTTTGTAAGGACTCACATATTATGAAAGGAGGAGGAAGAAAGCTGGGAAAGTAGATACATCATCTGATATACACCTTACATGACCTTCTGATTGATTTTTGATATCAGATTCTGTGAATGCTGCCAACCACAGAGGAGTTGGATAGAAAGATGCAATTTTTACTTTTAAATTACCATGTGGTAACTACTTTTTTTCCTTTTTGGTCTTAAGTATAGATTCATATAATCACTCCCACAATCAGGATACAGAACAGTTCCATCACCCCCAAAGTTCCTTTGTGTTATCTCTTTACAGACACAACCTACACTATTCATAACTCTTGGCAACCACTGATTTGTTTTCCCTCATAACAAAGTTGTTATTCAAAAACCTCATATAAATGGGGTTATAAAGATTGTAATCTTTTGAGACTGGCTTCTTTTATTTAATATAATATCACTGATAGCCATTCAAGTGGTTGTGTGTATGAATAACACTTTCCCCTTCACTGCAGAGTAGTATTCTAGTATATGGATGTAATGGGTTTATTTAACTATTTATCGGTTAAAGTGCATTTAGGTTGGTTTTAGCATTTGGTTATCACACAAAAAACTGCTATGTTTACTTTTTTCCCACACCTGTCCTCCAAAATAATCATACTTACTGCTTCATAATCTGCTAGTTCCAGCCTTGCTTTATTCTGCATCGTCCTCTTACAGAGATAGATGGCTGAGGAAAGAAGAGAAAATTATAACAAACACAAAACCAGAAGTGTGGTGGGATTGTGAACTCAGCCATGTGTCCGTCCGTCCATCCATCCTTTCCTCTATGCCTAGCACTCTGCGGGGAAGAATATGCTTCAATGTGGAAGCCACAACACCTGACCCTAGGAATCTTTCTTTGGTCAGGATAAGATGAAGACCCCATCTTCCCATCCTTGCTTTCTTCCTTCTCACTCTGCTTGACCCCAAACATCTTCTGTGCAGGTTCATACATATGACCAAGTTACCCCTCCTTAAACACCCTGAACTGACTTTTCAGTCACCTCAGAAGAATGGTCACGCTCTTTGGGATGGCATGTTTGGTTCTTTCTGATCCTGTCTCTGCTTATCTCGTCAACCTCTTCCCTCCCTTCCTCAGGCTACCAAACTGCTTTTAGTTCTACTCTTCCTCTGTGGACATGTAGCAGCCTGGAAGGCCTTTCTCTCTTCTTTCTTCTTTCCCTTTATCTGGTAAACTCCTACTAACCTTTGAAGACTTGGCCCAGTGTTCTAGAAAGCACTAATGCATCCACAACCATGGAAACTAATTCCAGGGCACTGCAATCCTGGACTTATTAAGCTGTCCCCTGCTCTAGGATGAAGGCTTTTCAGGGGCAGAGGCTGTGTGTGTCCTATCAGCCTGAATCCCTGCACTGAGCACCAGTACCTGGTCTGCCAGGTGGAGACAATTTAAGTCTCTCTTCCCAAGCTAAAGATGGGTGCTAGGCCCTCAGTTTCCAGGGCATTCTTCCTCAGGCCTGGACTTCATCACTCCTTCACCCTACTTCAGTATCCCTCTTCTTCTCCAGTGCTGACCAGAATGTTCAGAGAAGACAAGGAAGACAACAGATGAATGATATGAATGAACAACAGAATGACCGGGAGGGAAGGTCAGAGAGGACCTGTGGCCAACCTGTCATTTGACAACTTAATTATGCCAGGAGGTCTAGCCAACTCCATGCTGGATCAACCAAGCCCCTCCATGTGGGCTGAAAATGTCCTGATGGCAGCCGACATCCGGTGGAGGCTTGTGGCGACCAGCCCACTCTGGTGTTTCCACACTTCTGCTCTCACCAGTTGAGCTGTATGTGGACAAGAGCTGTGTTTGTTCTAAAATCAGGCATACCTGATATTTTAATAATATTCATTAAATATTAGATAGGCCAATGAAATGAATGCAAAGAGAGAGCGTGTTGTTGTTACTATGAAAATCCACTTGAATGGTTTGGAACAACTTGACAAAGGAGAGTTGGTTAAGATAATTGCTAATGAAAGTACGCAAGTGAGGTAACTGAAGAAATGGGACAAATGTAATAAAAATCTAGCAGAGGTCAATGCATAGCCTGCTTCAAAGGTGTTTTTAAATCCCTGATGCACTTTAAAGATACTAAAACTGAATGAACTATCTATCTATCTATCTATCTATCTATCTATCTATCTATCTATCTATCTATCTATCTATCTATCTATCTATCTATCTATCTATCTCAGTAACACTGTATATGCTTTAGGGGACCAGATTTACACCTCAGATGTATGTGATCACATCACCTCCACCACTGAAGCACCCATAAACTAATGGGTCCCCTCCCTGCTTTGTTCCCAGCCCTATCTACCCCCCTCCAGTAGCCTCAATTCTGCACCCATATCTCTAGTATTTGTTTTGGTTTAGTTTTGTTTCCCTATAGTCCACATGAGTGAAATCATCTTCTATTTGTCTTTCTCCTTCTGATTTATTTAACTTAGCATAACACTTGATAGTTTATTTCAAATATGGTTTGTTTAAGAAAGAGACTCAAATTATTGAGACACATTCATAAAGCATCTTTGGTCCCACCTCAAAAGGCTGTTGAAGGAAAGTTTCTTTATATATCTTACATTATTACAAAGTGTTTAAGGTAGGGAAGTATCACTTTTTATGATTCTCCAATCACCAACTTTGCAATGGATGAGGCAGCTACAGCTGTCCATTGTGCTGGACAAAGGGGGTTCTGCTTAATTACAGGGTGCCTCCTTTGGTCTCCAGGACCACTGTCTAGGCACCTGAGCAGGCAGCTTGGCTCATCACCAGCCCCATCTGGCACAGGACACTGGAAAAGGCTGCCCCAGACACAATCTTATATAAAATTTAGGAAAGTCTAACCCAGTTCTGGACTAGGGCTTTGTTTAAGCAAAATCACCCTGAGACATTTTCAACCCATCTTGGTCAAAATGGGCTGGAAATCAAATGACATAATTACATACATGAATGCAAAGCTGGCACCTCTCTCTCTGACCAGCACTTATAGGGTAACAGACTTTTGGCTACTTCCCCTTGGCTAATGTGACACCTTAGGAAGTCTGTCCCTGCTTCTTGGGAGAAAGATATAACTGCTGAGGAGGGCTTTTCTTAGCACAAACCTTTTACATCTAACTAACAATGGCCGATCTAAGAGTGCATACCTAGGGAACTTGTGTCATGCTCAGATGTTGGTTTTTCTTGGATATTTGATTTCTCATTGAAAACACTTTGTCTCCTTGTCTTCATCCCTGGTATTCCCACCTCATGGCATCACTTGAATGACCCACTGCCACCTCAACAACTTGCATTTCACCATGACAAAACAGAAAACAAAGAAATTTTATAAAGTGAATGGGTCATGTACTACATGTTAAATGTTTAATTAAATGTCAAAACATATATTGACCTTATCCTATTTCAATACGCTTAAAAAACTGACTTCCTTCCAAACTTTTGCCTTTGTTTTACCTCCATCTCTTAACAAGGGAACATAAAACCCACATGTTTCTCTATTTTTCTCATGCCTCTAATTGCTTTCTAGAATAACAGGACTTTAGAAAAGGAAGTAACCTTGGAAACCATCAAGACCCATCATTGACAGATGGCAAAGTGAAAGGTCAAGAGAAATGAAGTGATTTACCTACAGGCTAGTTAGCGGTAGAGGTGGAATTAGAATTGAGGTCTAGTTCAGAGCTTTTTCCACTATGACATTCACTTCCCACTTATTCATTCATTTATTCATTCATTCAATGATTAAAAAATGTACTGAATGACTCTTATGTGCCAACAGCACTATTTTAGGTGCCAGGGAAATCACCGTGATAGCAGTTCCCTTACATGGAGATCACTGAATGTCAGTCTCTTTCTAGACACTTTCAAAATATTCACTTACTTAACCTTCATTGTGACCCTATGAGGTGGGTTCTGTTTGTTAATATCTTTACTATATAGATGAGGGAACTTTTTTCTAGGTCATTCCCCATTGTTGGAGGGCCCACCACTCCATAAAATTGTTGAATCCATTCTGAATGGACTACATTACCTGGAAAAATGTTGTTTTCCTCATTTACAAGAGCACTTGAACATTCCTTCATGAAGTCTTTTAAAAAATAAATCTACCTTCCCAATCTATTCAACATCCTCAAATAGTCTTCATTAGCATAAATCCTTGAATACCAAGATCACACTCCTCACCATCCTCTTCTTGCCCCCACTGTACTGTCTCCCCCAGCCTAGAATGGTGGGTGAGCAAACCGGTGACTTGCCTCTGTAACAGCTGTTGATGGGGGGTGGGTGATCAGTAAATGCTTGTTGAATGAATGAAAGTTCTTGGTTCTTCATCAACCTAAGTCATACCTGATCATACCTACTCTCAGCTCCAAGTTCACTCCTTTCTGGCAAGGGAGCCACTGCAGAACCAATAATATCAAATATTATCTTACTAGTAGTAATACTAATCACTACCCCAGTTCTGAATGACCCCTTACTATCTGCTACTCACCAACTTCAGATGCATTTCATTTCATTCTAACTTCAGGAGAGGAGTACTGCTATTATTATTATTATGCTTTCAATAGGAGATTTCCAAGACACAGAGAGGTTAAGTAACTGTCCAATGTCACACAGCTTGTGGAGCTAGTTGATCATGGGGCCACTGTGCTGAGTTCTCTCTTTGTGAATACTTACTGATTTGGTGGTTAAAATAGTTCTTTTGCATCCTACACTTGAACTTCTCCATCTAATTTACCAAAATTGAGAAAGGAATTCAGAAGAATTTTGCTTTAATGAGCGCCTGATAGAAATTGTTATTTTATCTCTGTTCAGGCTACAAACTAAAATGATGAGAAGGAAAAATCTTGCAAAGAAAGGGAAGTAATACCCAGTTATATGAGTGTAAGATGACCTAAACTTTGTGCATTTATATTCAGATAAATATTTTAATCTTACTTGGGCCCACTTTATGGGCCCAAGTAGGATATCTGGGTATCTGGTACTACCACAAACACCACCCTTTACATTGCCTGGGAAGATACTGGTTTTCACATTTAAAAGGGCACCTGCCTGCTGCCTGGAACTGAGTTATGATTATTCAAATTCTGAGCTGGGTTTTCCTGAGTGGTGTATCAGCCCCAGGAGCACTTGTTTTATGAACAGCCAAATGTGGCTCCTATTCTGAGCCAGAAACTTTGCTGTGTCCACTTATCACATCACTGAGGGCACAGTACAGTTCCAGAGGGAGGAACCGTGGTGTCTGCAGATAGCAGATGAGACAACAGAGGAGCTGCCCTTGCCTTTGGAAACAAAACAACGGTAGCCTTATTAGGCTTGTCCACTTCCATCCTCAAGACCACTCCAATTGCTGCCTCTCCCTCACTCAAATGCGTGATCCAGAGGGCGCAACTTATCTCACACATCTCCCGGACAGGCTCCCCTGAATGTCCACCAGGTGCAGACCTGTCTTCCTCTCATTGCAGTGGCCCCTGTAGGATCACAAATGATCCTACAAAGAACCTGGGACAAAGCCGTGGATCTCACTGGGTGTCCCAGTGTCAAAAAGAGCACTGTGGACTGCACAGCAGCTGAGTCAGTGAGCAGGATGCCGTGCAAAGGTTTGAATCATTGTCTTATAATATTGCCATGGTTCCACAGAATGAGCATATCAGGCAACCTTGATAGAAGTTTTTTGCCCTTCCGACAGCTCTATCTTTCAGTGTGGGCTGCCTTTGTTCATTAGGTAAGATAAGAAGTTTATTAGCTGTCAACAGTATGAGAAAACCTAAGCAGGATAAAGGCCCTCTTCCCTATGCTCTGTGGTCACTAGACACCAAGCACTTGTCTTATGCACTCCTAGGAGTAACATAAAGTGTGGGTTGTGGTTTCACTGCTCACCATAGTCAGTATTTTCAGGTTCCCAGCAGTTTGAAGGCCAAAAGTATGGGGCCTGCAAAAAAGCACAGGTGTCAGGACTCATGTGGGCCAGCAATTGCCCTCCCTCATACCCAGTGAGGACCCCTCCCTATGCCAAGCTCTGTTTCATTTCCTTTTCGCTGACACCATATCCCAATTATCTCCAGTTCTGTAGCTGAGCCCAGTCAACATTTTAATCTAGGTGCTAGGTAGTAAAATCCATGTAAGCAAAATAAACACAAGAATAAAAAGTTTACAGAAAAAAAATTTCTTATCCCATGACAGTGGGAGTCTAACTATAGATGTTAGGCTGGTACAGTTTATATAAGTGCTAACTTCTTTTTATCCCTTTGTTTGTTATGGACTGAGTTGTGTCCCCTCCCCTCCAATTCATATATTGAAGCCCTAACTCTCCAGAGCATTTTGTTAGGAGTTAGGAAGTAAGAAGGTTAAATGAGGTCATAAGGATGGGGCCTTAATCTAAAAGGATTAGTGTCCTTGTGAGAGGAAATGTCAGAGCTTGCACTGTGTCTCTGGTGCTCCCTTCTTCCCTTCCTCTCTCTTCTCTACTTGACCATAGAGGTCACAAACAAGAGGAGGCCATGTGCAAACGAGGATGAGAACTCTCCCCACAAACTGAACTCTGCTGGAAGCTTGACCTTGGACTTCCAGCCTTTAGAATAATGAAGAATAAACTTTTGTTGTTTGAGCCCTCAGAAGATTAAGAGCCTCTTTGACCCCATCCGAAGAACACACACAAACCTTTTGGTTTTGACCTTGACATGCCCTTTAGTATCTGCCCCTGTGCCCTCTAGGATAGGATCTGAGAAAAGGAGTGGAAAGTGGGTGGGAATTCCAGTTTCGTGGTTAGTGAATAAACTTCACACCCGGAAGGCAGCATGATTTAGTAGAAAGATCAAGGACTTCATCAGCAGGACCACTTATGTTCAAATCAAAGCTGCCTCCTAGATTGACCAAGGGCCCTATTAATTCTCCAGCACCTCACTTTTCTCTTTGGTAAAATGGGTGATATTTATTCCCCCAAAGTTTGACCTTTAGAATAAATGAGGAAATAGGTATAAAGTGTCCAAAAACAGTAGGTTCCCTAGGAGAGCCATGTGCTGTTATTTGGTGGAACCAGAAATGGCCCAGACCAAAGTCTGCGTGGTTTTCCCAGCATTAGTGAGAGGTAAGATTGCTTCCTTAAATGTCCTTAACTTTTTTTATGTAGCTCTAAACTGAGATCAGCTGATGATGAAAATAAAATGTTCTTTAGGAGGACGAGTCTAGCAGGCCTACCTGGAAACGATAAAAGGTGCCATCATCCTTCATGCTGAGAACATGGTCCGAGATTGGGAAGATGTAGCCCTGGGCAGCTATCAGGCTTCCCACATGTATTGCTTCAACTGCAGGGACAGGGCATAAGGGAGACATGATTAGGAAGCTGTCAGAACACAGATCTACTTAGCTGAAATGTAAGTGGGGAGAGTATAAAGGCAACCAGAAGTCAACTGCCATCACCCTCAGTCAACTGCCATCACCCCTAGACAACTGCAGTTAGGATGTGAATTCACTGGGCTGGAGGGAGACGCCAGTGGTTGAGAGAGGCAGTCATGTGTTTGGGCTTCTCTGGATTCTAGCTCTGAGAGTCTGACATTGTTTAAACCCTTTGTCAAGTCTTTCAGAAGAAAGTCTAGCTTCATGGTCAAGAGACTAGTTTGGCATAGATAAACCTGTACTTAATTGAGATATTTCACAGTTACCAGTGTCTGTATAGAGTAAGTATTTGATAAGTACAGGCAGCCTTGATTCATATTTTTTTCCATCATTTTTATCATCCCCAGTCATGAGCATGGAGCCTCACATTGCTTTTCTGGTAAGACAGTTCCACCACCGATGTGAACGGTGTTCCACTTCTTTTTTGGACATGAGGTAAGATCTCATTTTTTTGGCCATGGTATAAAAAAATAGGTGTAATGGAAATGGAAATATTGATATTTTTGTCACAATCAACCTATTGCTTTGTAATGTTAAAACCAGTCATAAATAGATTCACATAAATAGTTGAGCATTTATATTTATTTTGAGCAGAGCTAAGGAAAAAAATATAAAAGTATTCTACTGGTAAAAACTAAATTTTGGACATGGAAGCTGTTGATATGAGAGGAGTCTCAGTTGGGGAGGCTCTAGGAGTTAATACTTTTGTTGATTTTATATTTTGAAATCATGATTAAAATTCAAATTCAAATAACTGAAATTTTAAAGTGACTTGCTTTGGTTTTACTTGCAAATGTTTCCAGAGGTTGCAAATCATCCAAGCATTTGTTCATTAAGAATCACCCATCCTCCCTCAGAAGGAGCATGGACACTGGGAAGTGGTAACTGGAATAATGGAGAAACAGTTCATTCCTGTCCTTATGACCAGTTTGCTCTTCAGAGTCTGTTCAAGAACAACAGATCCAGCAAAAAGGGAAGGTTTCTCACCCTCAGCTGCTCCTTCTCCAGGAAAGGAAGAACAAAGTCCAGTGCAGCGGCAACTTGGACACCACACATCCCGGAGCTAGAACTTTTGATTCATCCTAAGAGCTTTTGACTAGAAATGGGGCAGATGTTGGCCATGCCTGGCTTCCCAGGGTCTTGGTTTGCCATATTTCTGCCCTTCTGGTCCAAGCTGGTGAATTGTTCTTAACTCCTCCTGCTCAACGACTTCTCAGAAGCCCAAATAGATCTCAACATCTCAAGGTCCTTTCAAGGGCATCAAAGAATAACAAAGCTTCAAAGATACTACCCTCATCATTCAGGACCTTCACAGAGGCTTCTCCTATCAGGGCCAGAGGATTCCTGGACCTATGTACTTCTCCCTAGCTGGTTCAGAGTCCTCAATATACAACTGCTACTCCTACTACCACCTCCTCCACCACCAATGATGAAAGTAAAATATATATCAGAAACACAATGTTTATTTTAGAAGAGCAAAGAAACCAGTGCACTTGGAAGAGAAAGCCATGAAGAAGATCGTTCCAGAGTTTAGCTTCAAAAGAAATGTTGACCTTAAATGCTTGTAACTAAACTCATAGAGACTTACACAGTCCAGAGTTTACTACTGGACAATCAGAAGTTCAGGATGCATACGAGAAACACCGAGAGCAGTGGATATGGATTTTTTCCTTATGAGGATAAGCATTCATAGCTTCCCCCTTGGATTAAGAACTTGACCAGAATTAAGAATTGTCACTAGCTATGAGAGTAGCTATTAATCAAGAAGTGAAAGGGCTAGTGTTTCTTCCACAGGGCTAGTGCCTGATTTCCTGGCACTCCTATCTCTGGCAGCTATATTTAATTGAACTCCATGTAAATTGTTCTGTTTCATAGTCTACAGTCTATTAGGAGCATCAGATTAAAATACAGGAATGCCTGAGTTGACATATCGACCCTAGCAGGAATCACAGCTGAAGGTCAGACAGCCAGAATGGGTATCTGAAAGTATCTTCAAAAAGCATAGCATTTGGAGGTCATTTAATCTGGGGCAAGTAGATCCAAGAACATCAGATTACGTTAGTGGATATTTATAAATATGACCTTTAAGCATCAAGAATACTTAAGACAGGGGGTGGATAATAATTTCAGAGAAGTATTAACTAACAACACAGACATAATGAGTTTTACTTATCTAGAATTTTCATTTTTTTCTGGAAACCCCTCCCCCCCCCACTTTCCAATTATGCTGTGAAAACAATTTTTTTACTACTAGTTTCTGGTGGGAGGACAGATTTGGAAACTGCTTTATTAGCCAGGGTTTTGTTGTTGTTTTTCTGGTAAGGTTTCCCTAATTGAAATGAACAATTAAAGTTGGAAAAAAAATCATTCCTGTACTTCTTGCAGAAGCAGAAAACAGAAGGAGTCTTAGCAAATAATTAAACATCTTAATTGTGGATCAGCAATCTAATTTTAAGAGCTGGCTCTGGAAGACTGTTCTGTGGCAGCACTACAACTTATCTTTAATTGCTGTGGCTAAGGAAAATTCATCTCATTTCACATGTTATTGTATTGAGCTCCCTGGCATTCTAAATAGTTGTTCATTTCCTCAAAGGATGATTTAAGTTTAAAGATAGATATTCAGTGGAGAAAATAAATTAATTTTATTTGTAAATGGAGTTATCCCACATCTTGGAATTCATATTTATAAGCCAGTTCCCAGGTGGGTAGAAGAAACTATTTTGGGGCTTGGGTATGGGGTAAAGTCAAGGTCAAGGGTAAGGTACCTGGGTCCTCAATGGAAAGATTCTTCATGAGCCACTGCACAATGTCAGTACCTGCAACGATAGAGCAATATCCATTGAAGACTCAGGGAAGTTTAACCCTGTGGCAGAAGAAACATGTTTACCCAAGAGACTCCCCATTAATAAATGCACATACAGAGAGGTGTTAATATCAACAATTTTCCATTCTAAACAACCCTTTCCACCCATTGGTATACTTTCATCGTCACAATCTCATACTTCCCCCACAAATCCACTTCTGGTGACTCAGGATGACCTGCTCTCTGTACTTCCAGGGAGTGCCTGCAAAGGAGTTGCTGTGAGTACAGATTTGATGAGTTTCTCAGACAGGACAGGTGAAGTTTTATCACACTGGCCCCCAGGCCACTTCCTGAGAGAGCAGCCTTTTCAGCTCCTCACTCTTACTGACAAGGGCTGAGCAACACGGAAAGCTGACGGGTTCTGAAAAATAGCTCTAATTTCTTCTGGCAAGGGCCCGCCCTGAAAGAAAGTGCCCCTGTGCCATGGGAGAAACTTCGATGTGTTTCTCAAGACCACTTTCTTCTATTTCCTGGGTCACAGCAAGATGACATCTCCAGATTCTTCTGCAGTTGGGTGTAGACTGACAATGACAGTTGAGTTCTGACAGTGGAATGTGGGTAGAAATGACATTAATTCCCGAACCAGATCATAACAACTCCCATGTGATACCCCTCCCCAAACATCCTTTCATTTTCCATTTGCTGGCTGAATGGTGAGGGTGCCAGGGGAGGGCAGAGTCACAATATGGAAGGAGACTAGGCAATGACCATGAAGATGGATGGCCATTTTGGGCTCTGACCTGACTGTAAGTTTGCCATGGTGATGCCCAGAAGTTTGGGGTCTATTTGTTTTGGTAGCATCACCTTTTTTGTTTTATTTTATTAAATTTTTAAAAAAGATTTATTTATGCATACAAGAACTGGGGTATAGGTCAGAGGTGTGGGTGGTGAGAGGATTCACCAGAGACAGAGTCGGGGACAGAACAGGCAGAATGACTGATATACACTGCTGAGGGGAGCAGCAGGCGAGACAGGAGAGGTCTGCTGCGCCATGTGGGTTGCACCCTGGCAGGGATCAAATTCGTGCTTTAGTAGCTGCAGATAGCTTCATAGGCTGCATCTTAACCCCTTGCATGGAGGCGGGCAAGGGAGGTCCCCAGTATTATCTTTTTTAAAAGAAATATTATTCTTTCTACTTGAGGTAATAGTGGTTTACAGCACTGAATGAATTTCAGGTGGACCCTCACACCTCAGCAGCTATATATGCCATATTATACCTACCACCAAAAGTTTAGTTTCCATCCAACAACAAATCATATTCGTTTTCCTGTCTCCCCAACCCCCCATATAATTCTGTTGTTAGAATCTAAGGGTTTGTGGGTTTGTTTTTATTTTTCATTTATTCATTTGCTTTGTTTCTTTACATACACATGAGTGAAATCATATGGTAATTGTGTATTTGTTTTTCTCCTTTGGACTTATTCTGTTTAGCATAATCCCCTCAAAGTCCATCCATGTTGTCACAAGTGGCAAGATTCCATCTTCTTTTAAATAATTGAATAGTATCCTATAGAGTATATATACCATATTTTCTTTGTCCACTTATTTGTTGATGGATAATTAGCATTATCTTAACTAATTTAAAATCCCAAAGGGTAGAAGGGACTTTTAAAGCTTACTTACCCCAACCTTACCAATGCACACAACCCCTGGGACAAGAAGTGCCTGATCTCCATTTAGAAAAACCTCAGCATTTGGTATTTTTTTCTTTCTGGTTTATTTCACTGAGCATGATCCCTTCCAGCTCCATCCATGTTGCTACAAATTGCATGAATTTATCTTTTTTGATAGCTGAGTAATATTCCATTGTGTATATGTACCACATCTTCTTGATCCTGTCATCTATTTGGGGGCATTTGTGTTGCTTCCATAGCTTACCTATTGTAAATAGTGCTGCTATAAACATAGGGGTGCAGGTGCCCTTTTGAATTAATGTTTCTGTGGAATTCACAAATCCCTTATTCTAGCCTGTTCCAGCTAAATTGTCTTTGGTCTCTCTGACCAGAAATTTGCCCCTCTCTGACTTCCTCTCTTAGGCCTTAGCCTTTCCTTCTGATTACAGAAAAATGAACCCAGACAGTCTTGCTCTGTGAGTTAATTCTTCAAATATTTGGGCAGTCCATCCAACACACTGCCAACTTTCTCCTGAGTTTTCCTCCCTCCTGGTGAAACACAACTGAGTTTCTCAGCAGTTTCCTTGTGTGACACAACCTTGAGCCTCTCCATCTTGGTCACATTTCTCTGAATATGTTCTCACTTGTATGACTCCCTTTGGAAATGTTGGGCACCTAGAACCTATGTTCTTTGGGCAGCACATTTTACAAGGAGTGGAGGAGCCCAAATTTCTGGAAGGTTCGGAACTTCTCACCTACCCACATTTATCACTCAAAGATCTCACTTTAAATACCTCTGTCATATGACCCAGCAATCCTACCTCAAGTTATCTGCCCCCCAAAATACAAAAACACTAATTCAAAAGGAAACCTGCTCTCCCATGTTTATAGCAGCACTATGCACAATAGCCAAGCTATAGAAACAACCTAAATGTCCCAGAACAGATGAGTGGGTCAGGAAGATGTGGATGTTTTTTTGAGTGATCAAAAAAACAAAATAAACTCGTGTCATTTGCAGCAAAATGGATGGAGCTGGAAGGGATTATGCTAAGCGAAATAAGCCAGGGTGAGAAACATAAATACCAAGAGGTGTCACTTATACGAGGAATACAGAGAAAACAAAGGGTCAGACAAAGTCAAACTTTAAAACCAACCCTTGAAAGCTGAGCATAGAACCAGGGGCAGGAGTGGGTAGGGAGAGCACAGTGGACTTCGGTGGAAGCATGTGGGTGTTTTGGTGGTGGGAGAGCGGCAGTGACTACACCGAGGCGGGAATCCTATACTGTCAAAATTCTGGAACAATGTAACTTCAATAACAATAGATTAAAAAAACAAATCTCACTTCAAACCCCCACAGACCTTCAAAGGTGAGTTTGCCGTCGCAGCATGGACTGTTCAACGGAAAAGAACCTGAAAGAGGCAACATTTCTACGTGTGAGTCATGGGTCTGAGCTTACAGCTCTCCTGGGATAGATTCCCAGCTTGCAGACTGGACGGCCAGCAGAGGGGCTTAATGAATATGGCCCTTTTTCCGGGAAGAAAGTTTCCCAGAAATCTGACTAGTGGCCAGAAATGAGACCAGCTCAGGCCTCTGCCGGTCATTTGGCTCCTCTCAGGCGCCTGGAAGTGAATGCAGCCGCAAGGTAGGCTGCCAGGGCCTGTCCCAGTCGGCCCTTCCTGCCCCCTGGCCCCCCTCCCCAGGACTAGCCTCTGCTGACTCGGCCCTGCAAGCTCCACTCATTGCAACCTCAAAGGCATGGCTGCTAAGCTTTCCCTGCTCCTGCTCTCGGATGGCGTCAATGAGCTAAACTTTGGATCACAAACACTCCTATTCACTCCCCTGCTTTGAGAGGGAGCGGGAGTTAGTCTGTGTGTGTTTGTGCGTGTGTGTCCATTTCCTCCAAATTATACAAGTTCAACATTTGTCCTAGGAAATAAGGAACAAAGCAGAAATCAAATAAGAACTATAATCCCAAGTTGGGGGTGGGGGAGAGACTCTAACCTGCTTTTTCCTCAAAAGAAAAATAGTTCTTTTTTGTGGGTTGCCTAGAAACTGAGAGGCTTCCAGCATCAGCAACAGCTCTCCCCCGGGCAGGCGGATTATCTTTCTGCTGAGCTTGCTGAACCATTATTTATCACCTGCCAAGATTGATTACTCACCCTGGGACAATGACAGCCCTTCCTTTCCCCTGTTAATTACTGTCATCATTAATATCCATGTCACTAATTAGTATTCATTCACATTGAAACTCCTTCCTTGCTATCATATCCGCTCCCCCCCTGCAGCCCACCCCAGCCTTCGACACCATTGTTTGCTTTTCTACCCCCTTTTGGCTTTATACACTCAGAGTCCAGCCTAATTGTTCTCCCTCAGTCCACCAGGCCCCAGTTTGCATTCACAGCTAAAGGATCACATTCTAAGCACTTGTGTGTGTGTGTGTGTGTGTGTGTGTGTGTGTAAATAAGAGAAAGCCACAAAAGCCCCTCGCCTTCCATCCCAGCACTGTGGAAACTCATCTGGGTTGCAGTTGCTGGTCCCCGGTGCAGCCTCCATGACGGTCACTGCTCAGAAGGCGGCTGGCGTGACTGTCCTCAGGCCCTGGTGAGGACTGACCCGCCACCCTTGGCTGCCCCAGGCCACTGCCCTCCATCTGGCCCATCCCTCACGTGCCATGGGCTCTGCTTCAGCAAACACCACCACGCCTAGGGGCTGGCGGTCATCCCTGCTCTTGGGCAGGGGATACTGAGCCAGGTGAGTGGTAGGAGGGAAAGCACAGCATGTTCAGCCCAGGAAGAAGTAGGGCAGGGAAGTCTGTCATAATATTATGTCCTTTAAAAGACTGATAATTATTACACTATAGCATCAGGCAAGATAATAGATACAACCATGCGGAGAAAGCATTTTAAATCTTTTCTTTCTTCTCTTTTAATCCCTCTTTCTGCCCTCCCACTAACTTCCAAACATTCTTTCCTTCCTATTCTAGAAAGAATTTGAAGTAGAATATTTTCTTGTTCTATCTAAAATGAACTGGTATCTTTTGTGACCACTATTGGATTCTAGTTGGTTAAGCTGCCCTGCCAAGGACTTTAAGGCAGTATGAAAACAGTAGGAAGGAGTGCAGATAGGTATCCTTTATTCCAACATGTCCTAGAACACTTCGCTGAAAGTTGTTTTTTTTTTTTTTTTTTTTTTTTTTTTTTTTTTTTTGAGGCCAACTTATCAATGTATATTTTAACTGTTAACTTTAGGGCCTCCCCGGTGGCCTAGGGGTTAAGTCTCAGTGCTATCACCACTATGACATGAGTATGATCCCCAGCCAGGGACCTAATCCACATGGTA